ACCATAAGGTGGGCAAAGCTCCTCAGGCTGCGCAGGGTGGAATCCAGATAGCTTGTCCTTTCCTCCCCATACTGTACATCCTATACCTGTGCAGTCTGTAGGTGTTACCGACAGACAAACCCCTGCCTTCCCCCAGCCCCATCATCCCCAACCGCGTGGCCTTTGTTGGAAGCCCCGGGTCCCCCCCCAGCAAGAGCTGGGGGAGGGTTGACTTCAAACTCCACTAAACAGTAGAGGCACAATGCAAACAAATGTATTGCAGCACGCAGCTATGCAAATAGCTTTAGAGCACAGCACGTTTTCCCCAGCGTTAATTGCTGCACCGCCAGGGTTGCGTAGCAACAGCTCCGTTTGTGTCTCTGACAGCTCCTGCCCCTTGATGCCTCTGACACCTTCTGCGGCAGGCGGGGAAGGAGGAGAGAACAGGGCTGCCCTGGGAAAGCTAGAAGGGCTAGGAGGTACCGAGGGGCTCGGGTGATAAGATTTGCTTGGGATGCCGGGGTGTCTGCTGCTGGCACGGGGCGACACGTGCAGCGGGGCTGGAAGCGGGGTGTTGCGGCACAGGAGCAGAGGAGCCCCCAGCAGCTGCAGCCTTGTGTAGGCAGTGTTCATGGCTGGCAGCCAGAAAGGGCAGACCTGCCGTCTCCCAGGCTCTGCAGGAAAGCTCACTGGCAGGTGGGTTGTCTCTCCCATCACAGTGAATCTTTCTGGGTACCCCATACGGGTTTTTGATTGCACTCGCAGCTTGCCTACAGGCACAGAGGGTCCCCAGTAAGTCGCCTCACCCCAGCCACGGAGCTGCGTTAGGCTTGTGGCTTCTCCAGCCCTTGAGAGAGATGACACATTCCTCATGCGCACCCAAAGCTAAGAGAGCCTCAGACCAAGCCCCGTGGGAAGGAGTGAGCAGAGGAGAAGGCTGCAGATGGTACGGGCAGCCCTGGGCTCCCTCGCTTGTCTGCTGAGCCCAGCAGCTTCTGCTGGGCTGACCTGTGCCTCCCAAAAGGCAGGCTCTTCAGAGACAGGGCTGGCTGCCTCCTGAGAACAATTTTTCCTCCTGTTTAAAAGCACATTCCTAATTCCCATCCTCTGCATTTGCCAGTCGGTCTTCAGCTCCCGCTGCGCCTTTGCCAGCAGGGCTAAGGAACCTGTTAATACCCAGCACCTTCCCCCAGGAAGGCACTTCAGCTCTGCAATCAGCTCACCTCTCCTCTCTGATAAGCCACGTAAATGAATAGTTTCTCTGCAACAGTTTACACAGTCTGTAAGCAACCCTGCCTGAAGCTGTGGGGCACTTGAAATAGACTCTTCTGTTACAGCTGAGCATGAAACAAGCTCTTCTCTGAAACTGCCTTAAGTACGGAGGATGGGGGCAATCCTGTGTTCATCAGCCACCGGGCAAGAGAATGGCCATGGGCATGTTTTATTTAGTAGTAATAGCCAGAACAGACAGGAATGGTGGGAAATGCTGGGCTGGTACCAAGGCGTACAGATTAGCAGGTCCCAGGGAGCACAGAGGTGTGTCCGGGAGATCTGGGGATGGAGAGGCACAGGCTGTGGCTCAGCACCCCAGGGGGGACGGGGAGAGGAAGGACCGAGGTGGGATCCAGCCATGCTCAGAGCCTGGCTGCAGGTGGCGGGGAGAGCTCTCCCTCAAGGTTATCCTTTGAAACTGAGAAAAAGGGGATACTGCCTGCCAGCACCCAAACAGGGCTGGGCTGGGCTGGGCTGGGGAAGGAGCAGATGAGATCAAGGCGAGAAGTTGCAGCCTATCTTTGAGCCAAAGTGATGTGAAAGCAGGGGACCCTGAATGCAATGCGCCTGCAGAAGCAGGTGAATTGTGTCACTGAGCGTGAGATGGGTCTTCTAAGGACAAAGGGCATTGAGGCTGAATGGATTTATTTCCTTTATCAAGCAGGAAAAATATCTGTTTTTTAAATTTACAGCTTGACAAGCTGTATGTATCTCAGATTGACTCCTTGGAGTACAGTGGGGCAAATAAGGTGAAAATGAGCACCATGGCCTCAGTCACACTTCAGAGGAAGAAACTAGGTGAAGGCAAGGCAGAAACGCCACCTGGAGCCTTAGGACCAGGGAACCCAGGTCCCCTCCACCATACAAGCAGGACATGGGTCTTTTCCAGCCCTGCACGCCCGTGCAAAGCAGGCGTGACCTGCGACCAGCTGCATTCGGCATCGCTGCTGCAAGGCGAGGAAGGACTGTGCCTGGCCGCTTTAGTTCCTTCTCCTAAGCTAGGGACTCCGTACACAGACCCACAGTCTCCTCCCTCGCCAGGCATCGCCTAGCTGGTATCTCGCCTTTTCTTACTCACCAACCACCCGAGCAACCACTTCGCCTATGCCATGGGCTCTTCTTTCGCAGCCATTTGCGTGTAGCACCCGAAGGCGCCCCAGCAAGGAGGGAGTTGGCTGTTTTGCCACCGTAACCGCTTCCCGAGGCTGCCTGGGGAGCATGGCGGCGGGGTGGGCCCGGGCAGGGCCACACCTCTGCTGCCGCGGTTATAAATTCAGGCTTGCTGGGGGAAGATGGCTGCCGCTCTTAGGAGCTGGGCTTGTGAACAGGTAAGAGGAAGGCAACTGCCCTCTTTGCAAAGGTGGAAAACAAGTTGTGCTGAGCTCTGCCTCTTCGCAAAGCCCCCTGCTCCAAGCCCTCCTCTTGCAGGGGAGGGTGAAAGGTTTTTTGTCCCCTTTGTTATTCAGGAGGGCAAGGGGAGGAGCTGGGCTGTGTAAGAGATCCTGGCTGACATAACCCTTCCCATGCAGGGCTCTGGAGAGGGGCCAGGTTGTACCTGAGCATTTTTATTTAAACTAATCCCAGGCATTGCAAATTGAAAGTCATCGCAGCGCCAGGTAGAACCAGTCGAGATGGTCGCTGGAGGGCATTTTTCTCACCCGGGTGTAGTAAAGCAGTCTTGAGGTACGTTGTTTATCGCTAACCCCGGGACTATGTTCTGGAGGTGTTGGAGCACATTTGGCAAGCCGAGCTTGCTCAGCCTTTCCGTGCAGTTTTGGGAAAACCTTGCCCAAGAAGCCTTTAAGAAAACTGAGTGGCCGTGATTGAGAGGTGAAGCCTTGTTATGCTTAAAAATTTGGGCAAACTGGAAAGCCAAGGGCTGGCTAGCAGATGCTCAGGGCAGGCTTGGCTGCAGCCTAGCATTTCTGGGTGAAGAGGAGACCAGGTGCCACCTGGCCAGCCCGGAGCCCGAAGCGGCCCCTGGGCACCCTTTCCTGCCCTTTGCCGAGTTTGGGAGCAGACCCCACGAGCTGGGGGAAGAGGGGTTGCTGGAGGTGCCTCCCCGGCACTTGTCAGTTCAAAGAAAGCAGCCAGCAAGCAGTAAGTAAGCAGCAGGTGAGGGCTGCCCGGGGCTGGTTCTGGCACGCCGGCTGCCACCGAGCATGGCCTGCTCCGATCCCTGGCTTTCCCTCTTCCTCCTCTCTGCCGACGGCTCCTCTGACCTGGGGCTCTTCCTCCCTGTCTGCCTGTCGAGCCCTGTACCTGGCAGCGTGGGGAGGGAAAACCCACTCTAGATAAAGCTGCTTTTCCCCACCCTGGCCCCGAACTCTGCAATAACCGTTGCCCTCCTTGACCCAGCCGAGCAAGCGAGGTCGGCGTCC